CACTTTCTCATTGCGCCTATCCGGTGACGATGCAGCTTCGAGCACCGGCCAAGCCGGTGTTGGTATTGCCCTGAGTCCCAGGGCTGAAGCTACTCTGGTTGATTGGATTCCAATCAGTAGCCGGATGTGTGCGGTCCGATTGGCTGGCTCGTTCAAAGCTTCGAAGTCGTGTGGGACTAACAGGTGTCTATTCGTTATCGCTGCCTATGCACCGACAAACTGTAGCGATGACTCGGTAAAAGACGACTTCTATCGTCAACTGAACGAGCTCCTTAGCCACAGAAGAAGCTCGACACTGTTGTGCTGGCCGGGGATCTGAACGCTCAAGTTGGAAAATTATCCACTGATGAGCTGCATCTGGGCGGCCAACATGGTGTAGGCTCCCGTAATGATAACGGTGAGCGGTTACTTCATTTGTGTGAGGATGCTCGCTTATTTCTTGTGAGCACTAATTTCAGACACAGCACCCGCCGGAGGGTGACTTGGCGCCCAACAGCCTCGAACCAGCTATGGACGCAAATCGATCACATTGCGATAAGTTACCAATGGAGAGGCTGCGTCCAGAACTGTCGCTCGATTTGGAGCACAGGTGTGGACACCGACCATGCACTTGTGTGTGCTGACCTGCGGATGCGCTTTGGCGGACGCCCACGACGACGTTGTGAGCGCATTCACAGCAGCCAACTGGCGAAGCCAGCTGTTCTGAATGCGTATCAAAGTACGCTGTCATGCGAGTTGGATAAACGCTCACTGGATGCAATTGAAGCTCACTGGTCTCATATTCACCAGACCTTACTAGCAGCAGGAAAATCCTCATTTGGTATGTCTAATTGCCAACATGGACATTGGGTCTCTTCACAGTCTCTGGAATTTATCGATGCTCGTTGGCATATTCCGGCTGGAAGCGAACACAATGAAACTCGCAAAGAGCTCCGGGCAAAACTTCGTGCCAGCCTGAAGAGAGACCGCGAATCCTGGTGGTCTAATCGTGCAACAGAGATGGAAATGGCCGCTGCCCTTGGTAACCATCGTAAGTTATTCCGTCTGATACGGGAAACGGGCAGCAGGAGACGTGGTGTTAGTGAAGCTATACGTGACGAGAGTGGACAGCCTATCCACAACTTATCAAAACGCTTGGAGCGTTGGACTGAGCACTTTATAAGGCACTTTAATCGGTCGGAATGGTTAGATTTCTCGCCGGCCAGTGATCGCCCCACTCTCTGGGTTGTCCCTTTGGATCCACCCTCTCGCTCAGAAGTCGGACGTGAGATCGAACTTTTGCAGTTAAGGCCGCGGGACCTGATGACCTTCCTCCAGCCCTCTTTAAATTCGGGGGACCTGCTCTTATGGATGATTTACACGAGTTATTAGTGAAACTGTTGGAGCAGGAAACTGTCCCCACCGACTGGAGCCGCTCCGTCTTAGCCCCAATTTTTAAAGGAGGCTCACGATCGGAATGCGGCAGCCATAGATGAATGAGTCTGATCTACATCGCCTCCAAATTTCTTGCCTCTGTCATCCTTCACAGACTGACGCACTCGTGAAATCCAGATTCGGGAAGGGCAAACAGGATTTCGTCGAGATCGTGGCTGCATTGACCACATCTTCACCTTGCGTCAGTTGTTGGAGCACCGTTACATATATTGGCGGCCCACCATTGTCGTGTTCCTCGATATCAGAGGTGCATTAGATTCGGTGGATAGACATGCACTTTGGGACTGTCTACTCAGGAGAGGTGTGCCCGAGAAATACGTGAATATTATCCGAGCATTGTATGCGCGTAGCTCGGGCAGAGTGAGGGCTTACGGCAAGTTGTCGTCGCCTTTTAATATCTCCAGCGGCGTGAGACAAGGATGCCTGCTGTCACCTTTCCTCTTCAACTTCTCTGTTGACGAAGTCATGGAAATCGCGTTCACAGGACACGACTTAGAAGGTGTGAAGCTACTCCCAGGAGAACGACTTCTTGACTTATAGTATGCTGATGATATTGCCCTAATCTGTGACAGCTCACAAATGTGCCAAGCGGCACTGGACAGATTAGCACTTGCTGTCTGTCACTTCGGGCTTTGCTTCGCACCCTCGAAGTGCAAAGCGTTCCTCCAAGATTGGTCTGGACCGCCTCCTTCGCTGATCGTTGGTGTGGATCAGCTAGAAGTCGTTCAAAAATTCAACTACCTGAGAAGTTGTATCAGCGCCCGTGGGATTGAAGATGAAATCACGAATCGTATAGAAAAAGCTCGGGGCGCTTTTGGCAACCTTCGCCACTTATGGCGCCGGTGCTACACCACCCTCACCCTGAAGGACAGAGTGTAAAATGCAGCGGTACGTTTGACTCTATTATACGGCTGTGGAAACTGACCCCTTAATGCAGCGAACCTGAAGAGGCTAGTTACGTTCGACCACCGGTGCCTTCGTAATTTAGCTCACATCTGGTGGGAACACCGCGTGAGCAACGAGCGTGTTCGACGCCTTGTTTATGACACAGGAAAAGGAACTGAACCGCTCAGCACCGTTATTTCACGCACTAGGCTCCGATGGTTCTTCCACGTGTTACGCATGCCGGCCCGCCGACTCCTGCGACTTGCGTTTTTGGCGTGCCGGGGGTGTGGATGGAAGGAGAGGTGGCCAAGCGATGACTTGGTCCAGATAATTGAAGGCCTTCACTTCTGAGCTGGCATCGGTTGGGACGTCTCGGCTCCCTGGTTGGGGTCCGAAAAACGATGAACACGTTTGGTTGGACACACTTGCTGATATGGCTAGGAGCCGACCTTAATGGTGTTCATGCTGGGAGTTTCTTTGTCCCACCCCACCCCTCTTAGCCTTCCCCTCCAACCACGATCTCATTATTTAACCTTATATAATTTTGCATAGTAATTTTTTGATGCACATTAGTCGGCTGGTAGCTTACCGGAACGATGCCCATCCGTTACCGGTAGCTCAGCCGGCTTGCACCAGTTGCATTTTTTCTCCTTTTTCTGTGTATTGCGGCACAGTAGCTGAGGTGTGTGCAGGCGGGTTTCCAAGAAGCAGCGGATATTGATCGATAAATTCCAGCTTTCGGGCAATTGTTACTTGTTGGCTGCCTAGTTACCAAGTGCCCATTTTGATACTTGTTCGTCTTAGCGAAGATCGTGGATTTAAACTAAAAATGAATGAATTGTGATTGTCTGCTTGGTTGGACATGGGCTTGTCGACAAGGTAGAAATGACGCTCCGTGATTGTGTGGGACTAGAAGACAAACACCTATAAAACAAGGTGGAGGCCAAAAATTGCGAGGTTGAAAACGGGATAAAAGTAAGCTTGAAACTGGACGATGAGGATGAAAAACCGTATGCATGAATAAGAAGGCGTGATGTGTGCTGTATCATCCCCACTCTTATCTAACCCGCTCGACGCAGCAAATAGGGTAATGTTGATTATCCTTTTCGATGACTAGAGCATCAAAGAGTTACTGGTGAACTACTATCAGGTTGTCCAGGCATACGCAGGAGATGGATTGTGATTCCCAATCAAATCCTTTGGTTCAAAAGCCAGCAGGATTTTGTCGCTTGGCTGCGCGCAGTCCATTGAGAAAATAGAAGTAACCTTCACTCCAACCACAAACCTGCAGGTCTGGTAGTTTGTCTGGCCTCTAACGATTGACCTATCTGGTACGAGTGGCTTTGGAATCGCAAGTGGCACCACCCAGCATGGCTAAATGGATCGCTAAAGCACGCAAACATCTCACTACGGAAATGTCTACTTTCGTCGCCATAGACTGCTAACCATATCTTTAGGTCCCCAGCATAGACCAAGCAGCCCGTTTGCATTGCAATCGGAAAGCCTTTGATGTGGAGTTTAAAGAGTTTTGGCCTAATTGCACATCTTTGGGGCTGCAGCGGAAAAGATTTGGTATACTTTCACGCGCAGGTTGCGACCTCTTAAGCAGTCAGTAGTCCAAGTAAAACCATTCCCTACAGCATCAATTTCCTCAATTTTGAGCAACAACTCTCTCTTGGAGCTTTGTCAAAAGCTACACCACGATCTCAATATCGATACGCATTATTTACCTTTGTGTTGTATCGTTTTTCTCCACTTCTGTCTCCAAATATAGATAAAGATATTGTCTTAAGAAACATTGGCTAACACATCCCCCACCTTTAGCTAACGTGTGATGATCATAATGACTGTCAAAACCTTGGCTAAAGTAGGTTAGGACCACTGCGTGTTTTCAGGAAGTTATCGCCACTGCTGTGTTTTTGTGGCGATTATCAAATTGGAGGCACAAAGGCGGTCCTTCGAAAACCCATACCCAGAATGCGGAGTAATATACGATTTCTCAGTGTAGTTGAAGGGCTTGTCTGAAGATGCATTTCATGTTCTTGAATATTGGCCGGTTGTTCGCTTGACGGTTTCCTCCGTTTTACTCGGGCAATACGGTACTGCTAAGTTCGTTCCCTCACGTACACCTGGTGCCCATGACATTTCTGATCCGCGCGAATTCATTTATAGGTGGTGATCCTTCATTGGAACACCGAATTACCGACACGGGGATTAGTACTAGGTAATGCAATATTACTTGAGCCTTTGAACACCTACTTTCTGATTTTGTCTTTACGTATCTGTTAGCGCCTGGCTCTTGTGTATTATTGAACTGTGCATCGTATTGCAGGCGTTTAGGGCTTTACCACTCACAAGACTTGGGAGCTAATTGTATACACCAAGTGTTCTGTCTTTTGTATTCACTCGTCTACTTGCCTCAGTATTACAATTTACCGCGTTTATTTTTTCAATCGCAATTACTATGGTGCGCGGTGATCCGGAATTCCCTTGTTACAGGTCGTTCTTGGGGTCGATCAAATGCATTATACAGCTACTTCTAATCGGTTATCTCATTCTTTCTGCCTTTAATAGGTCACATACTTAATCCGCTATCCGTTGTACACGTATTTTTCCTAATTTGATTTATTCGGTGAATGAGTTTGGTCTGGGTGCTAACAAAACACTTCACTTTTAAACAGTTCAACGCATCTCAAAGTGCCGCTCTCAGAGCTCTTACTGGCTCCCAGTGCTTTTGACCCTTATAACGATGAAGACCAGACTACCCACGTAACCGGCAACTCCCCAGTGTCATTGGGCAAAGCGTTGCACTCCTTTTCTGTTCGGGATCCGGTCGAAGTTTGGCTAAGTACGAAAAGCACAACTCACGGGGACCAAGGCGATAACGATTCTCTCGAAGAGGATGGGCATACAAAGAAAGAAATTCCATTTGCGGGTGCTTGGTGGCCAGGACGCGTACTGGCAATCCAGGGCGGTTTCGCCCATGTCGAGGTTAGTTCTCATTGGTCCCTTGTAGGTTACTTCCCCACTGTTCCATAGCAGATCTATTGGAATCATACCACTTAATACAATAAAGCTTACCAGTTCTTCTACTTGAGCACTTAAGGATTTGCTTTGTCTTATTTCCACTTGATAGGCATCCATTTGAAAGCGGTCGGTGAACCATAGGATTACATGCCTACTTTGTAATCCAAAGGTCAGCATTTCGAATCCACTTAGGTACGGATGACGTCTTGGTATACTCAACCCATGCGTGACTGGTGGTGGTCACATCTCAGTGAAGCATCGGCAAGATATACTGGCATATTTCTGACGCCTTTTTCAATCATTCAATCAGCAACAGAAATATATCAGCCATTTGAACTGATGCTTCGCTGCCATACAACAATGATTACCTATGGAATGAAGAACACTAAAAGGAAGGAAGGGGGACATATCTGCAAACCTTAATGCCCTAAGTAAACATTCTGACTCATGACGCCTACACCTTGTGTTAACAACATACCGTCACGAACAGCTGGTTATCGTACAAAGGTAAGGCGGCATCGAGACAGATTCCTTGCGGCTTTCACTGCCGCGCGTCGTAATTATTCATTACTTCGCAGATAACTCAGCAGCACACACTTTGAACAGTCAGTCCGACTAGGAGACGGCAGGAGTTGTGCCACTAGTGTCGGTTGTGAGCCATGTCCTGTCAAGTCTGGCGCCAATCACGAAGCGGGTCACGTGGATTCCAGTCTGGAAGGCGAGACTCACCGACGGTATCGACATTGGTCGCCAGTGACTTCATTTTCCGCTGTCAAGTCAACTTCTGTCCTCCTCGAGCCTTGCGATACCATACACCTGGCAGATCAAGCAAGACCCTCCTAGGTAAGCGGTGACTGGGCGTACGAAACAGTGCTCAAGCCAACGCAACTTATTCAGATCTGTCTGTTGTTCTAGGGAGCTAGCATGATTACCACTACCTAGTACTCGCCTGCGCACATCATCGTTGCGGACACGCTGATGCCATCCGACACCAGCAGTGCTTCGCAGACAACCATGATCAGCGACTTAAAGGCGTCTTAAATCTGACTGAAGGTGCCAAGTTTCACTCCCATAGAGCAGGACGGCCCTCACTGTGGCCTTGTATACACGGCCTTTCAGATGGAGGGAAACTCCTTTCAGTCGCCAAAGATGCCTCTGGTTCAAGCAGGTAGTTCTGGCAATGCGTAAACTGACTTCAGTTTCTGCGAGCCCATCGTTACTGATGCATCTGCCGAGGTATGTGCATCGCTCAACCACCTAGAGTTTCTCCTTATCAAGGGTCAGCGGGTGATCAAGTGGCTGGTGGTCCTGAAGCAACGCTTTGCACTTTGAAGGTACGAAGCGCATACCAAATGATGAGACCTTTCTAGTGGCTATTCAGGGTTGATTGGACCGCCCCAACATCGTCGAAAATCAAGGCGATATTGTCCACATAATCAAGATCTACTAACCTTTCATCATCGACCGGTGGCCGAGTGGTCTGTGCGCATGGTTTGCAACCATAAGGTCCTCGGTTCGAATCCGCGTTGGGGTGGGCGTCCTCGCGGTACACTCAGCCCGCGCGCGACTGGTGGTACTCGCGCGGCAGCGAAGCACCGTTACGGCGTACAGCCGACACAATAATAATAATACTAAATAACTTTTCACCAAGGAAGACCTCAACCCATGGATCATGAGATTCTGTGATGAAACATCTATGATGGGGTCCACGACGAAAGTGCACAAAACCGGGGAAATCGGACTACCCTGATGAACGCCAATTGTCCTCGCAATGCTATCCGACAGGTCACCGTAAACCCTGACGAGACCTGTAGTGTTCGAGATAGAGCAGGTAAATTGGTCACATATTTCATTAGACACATTTCAGCGCAAGTAATTCGAACAGAGTTGATCGATCGACTGAGTCGAACGCACTCTTTTAGTCGAGGAATACAACTGTTGTCAGTCTGTGGTATGCGTGACGCTACTCTAGCACCTGCCGCAGAGTGAATATATGCTCTACACAACCACATCCAGGGCGGAAACTTGTTTGCACTTCCCCAGTTCGAGATTCGCGTTCCACAGTGAGGCTACGAACGAGAATCGAGGCCGGTAATTTCGTCAAAACTAGCGTTAGGCTAATACCCCAGTGGTTAGAACAGTCTGTACGACTGCCCTACTTGTATATTGTCACTAATTGATTCACTCCAATTAGCAGAGACACTTCCTTCCAGATAATTTTGAATAGGGAGGTCAGCGCATTGTAGAGGACTTCACCTCCATCCTTAAATAGTGTAGCTACGAGGGAATCCGGGTCAACAGCACAAAATGTATTGAGGGCTGTGATCGCGTTTCGGACTTCGACGTCCGATGAAGGCCCTAAAATAAACGTCCATGACATCCTGTATCACTTAAGTAGGAAGAGCTCCGGGAGCAGGAGGCCAACTGAACTGATTTTGAAAGTGTTCCGCACAACGAACCATATAGCGCTCCTTATTTTGTATTAATGCACCCGCGCTGTCTCTGATTGTTTCACTGAAGCCTAGTTTCCTGGGAACGGTGGTGCGGAACATTTGGAAAAGTTTTCGGTAATTGCCTACTGCTCCTGCCTCCTCCATTTTCTGAGCCCTACTGGTCCACCAGGCTTCCTTGTCAGCACGTAAGCTCCGCTTTAGTTCGCGCCTAATAGCCCGTCTGGTCACATTGTGCTCACAGTCAGCCGGTAGGTTTCCTAGATTCCAACAGGTTCACCGACCTCTCGGATATCCAATGACCGTTGCGGTGACGATTGATAGCGTCACAAACAGATACTCCCGCGTCCTGCATGATGGCCGAGATCCCATTCCACTAAAGCTCAATGTCATTAGGACAAGAGAGCGAAAGTTCGACAAGCAGTGTGCCATGGAAAGCTTGTCTGACCGAGTGTTGGGACAATTTCTCAGTTGCCACCCGGAGAAGACGTTTGGCGCGCCTCCTGGTAAAGTTCATGGAGAAACGACAGCGTACCAAGGCATGACCAGTCGACGCAGATATTCTAGTACGAGCGGCAGATCTGCATGGAACCACGCCACCTGTAACTTATGACAATGTGGTCAATTTGGGACCATCGCTGACCAGCTACAGGATGCCAAGTGGTACTTCGGTGCCCACTGTGTCTAAAAGCAGTGTTACTAAGAAACAACTGGTACTCCGCACACAGTTGCAGCAGACGATCGCCGTTGTCTATCCGTTCGGGGTTAAGCCCATAATTATCACCCAACTGAGCTTCTGAAGAGCTCAGACGCCCTTAATTGTGCGTTCATATCCCCTGCAAGTACTATGATATCTGAATTAGTAGCACTGCCTAGTAGTGCGTTCAGTTCGTGATAGAATGTGTCCTTGACAGCATTTGAACTGTAGTTAGTGGAAGCATAAGCGGAAATCACAAACAAACAGCGTTTTGTACTGCTTCGTGAATCAACCTTAGCTGATGTCGTCAAAGGGGCTGCACATAAACGGCTGTTCACCGGAATCCAATCAACCAACGATGGCTCAGCTTTGGAGCTTAGAATGATACCTACACCAGTTTGACCCGTGAGTGCTGCATCCGCGTCTCCGAATGCGTGCAACCGGTAGCAAGAGGTGGACAAGTCGGGCGCAGTTAATTCACTAACCCCATTAGGGTCATTAATCCTAGTTTCGAACACACAACACACATCAATACCCAGTGTGTTCAACGTGTGTGCGAGTGCAGCCTGTCAACCTATTTGCCTTAGGGTGTAAAAGTTAATCACCGCCACGGAAACGGGACATCGTGGCTTTATAAGAGACTGTTGCCGATAGTTGTCCGGTGGGTGTTGCGGGAAGATGGCTGCAGATGGTTCTACTCCAGTGGCACTTCTGTTGCTGTCAAGTAAGCTGGGACTTAAAGTAGGAAGGTTAGTGACGCGAGTCGGGATGGGAGTAAGAGAAACCGGGGGAAAAGAAAGAAGCGAAGCGCCAGCAGTATCATGTCTTCGCTTATCCGCACTGTTGCATGCAGCAGATAAGGTGACCCTTGACGTCCGATGCAGGATGTAGTTAGAGTTTGGGTAAATTGTCGCTTTCTTCGTTGTGTTTCATTTTCTTCTGAATTGTGTACTCCACTTAATTCTACCATCCGCTTTTTGACGCACCAAGCTTCTCCCTGTCTGTCCCCTTATTTGATGTTTCTCTTATTTTACAGGGTCCTTTTTTAATTCCTTTACATTGACACACTGAGGAGACAGATTTCGAAATGCCAGCATTTCGATTGTTCCCGTCAACCGCAACGCAATCGAAATATTGATATTTCGCAGTTTGTGTCTTGACACTGCGTTGCTGTAATGGATAAAGGAGAATCTGGTAACATGGTTTAACGCAGCTACATCTCCGGTGTACCAATCGTAGCTGTTTGAATACATCAAGAACAGCAGTAATGACAGCATCAGCAATAACAATCTTGTCCCCGCTGTGGTCCGTTTGATAGTTTGCGCTTACTATAATCGTTAGTGACTCTAACAGGTAGCGGGTAACTTTCCGGAAAGATTCTCATGTTACTGGTAGTTCAACTGGCATGTATCTTTTTATGTATTACGGCACAGTAGCTGAGGTGTTTCCCACCTCTAAATAACGTGTATAATGATATAATGATGGCTCTAACCGGTAGATTATCTCAATGCACTGGTTTACCGAGATATGTTTTCCGTTAATGTTTAATCGGTATCACTAGGTCCCTTTGCTAACCCTTCACAAGATTTTCGATTTTCAGCCGGATGGCTGATCTCCCTTCCATTCACATACGAAATATGAGAGCTCATTATGCCCTTCCTACCCCGCGATTGAACAATTTGAAACATTAAAGCTTATCACTTCATTTGCTTCAGGAACATCAAAGTGCGTCCTTTCACGGCATTAGATCAAGTGAGGATTTCAGAAAGTGAAGATGTTGCTAAGATAGCTGGACACTTGCATCACTTACGGGCTCATTAACTTCAACCCTAGACACACATCTTGTTCAACAGTCAAACTGTTTT